CCTCATTTTAACAAATAATGTTTAAAAAAAAATTTGGGCCCCCTCACCCCTTCAACTCTGGGACCCCCCTACTTCGACGGGATGGCTCCTCTCCTGAATGTAGGCGATCAAGAGCTAGTGGTGCATTGAATGCGCACGAGCACTTTGCACACCTATAGCAGTCATTAATCGAGATCGTTAATTTTTGGCAATTAACTTAAATTATTTGAGATTAAATGTAATTAATTATGAGCTGTTGTTATATTCGGATGTCTCCATTTAAATTATAGGTGCAACTTATTATCTTTATAAATAGAGTCGATACCATTAGGTGTTACTCGAGCTATTGAAAATGTAGCAAGTAGGTCCTCAACCTATTATTTTGACTATTGCAAGGGTTTAGGTCCGAGGTTACCGAGCTCGATATGGTGAATTTTTAGCTATTGATAAAAAATAATGGTACATTGGTCATGCAATTGAGCTCTTTGAATAGGAATTAAGCCAATATCTCCACCGATAGTAATGAATACTTAAATTGATCTGATTATACATAGTCCCTGTTTGGTAGAAATTAAAATTAAAATTTTAATCTCAATCAAAATTAACAATTAATTTTAATCACATATTTCATGGGATCCACAACTTTTCAACCTCATATTTTATCAATTTTTATCAAAATTTATTAAAATTTTAATTTTAATCTCCACCAAATAGAGACTTATGCCATATTCCATTTCAACACTCACTAGTGCTTTGCTTGCTTGTATCTATATAAACTAAGAACGTGGACAGTGGCAGGCCAGGAAACAAGCATAGAGAGAGAGAGAGAGAGAGAGCAGACTGAGGTTAAGGGTGGACCAATGCGAATGGTTCAATTTTCGATTCAATCATAATCGAACATTTCGAATTCTTGAATACCAATCGAAATTGACCTGAATATGGGCTTATAACCGTACAAACCGAACTGTTCATATGAAGTGATTTTTTCCTCTTCATTATCTTCATCGCATTTTTGTTCCTACAAGCTACTGGTCTGTTCTTTTTACTATTTTCAAATCGTTTTTTATTTTGGATTTTTCAAAACAGTGAAAACGTCTTCTCTTTACAATTTTTGAAAACGCGTTTTTGAAAACAAGTTGAAAATTTACAAAAAAAACACAAAATGACAAATTTGTCGTTTTATGTGTTTTTAGTTATAATCAAATCTAAATTTTCAAAACACATTTTGGGTGTTTTCAAAATGACAAAAAGAACGCGTTTTCAATAATCTCAAAATGGATATTCAAAACACAAAACTCAAAATGGATTGAAAACTCAAAACTAAATACTGAAACACAAAGAGAACGGCCCTTACATCTCCTATTAAATGAAATTGGAATACCCAAAGCTTATAATTTTAAAAATTGTACGAAATACATATTTGGGGATTAACTAAATATTCAGAAATTTTGGATCATGAAAGTATATATACACTCTTCTTGTCTCAATTGATAAATTGGGATAATGATGTATCAGTACTTGTAGAGCATATGGCGTGATTGATATTAGAACTTGGAATCAACCTTGTTAAGACGAGTAGTCAAATCTGTATATGTTCTGTATTTATTTCATTTTTTATTCGATGTGGGATTTACCCTTAAGATGCCCTACAAGATTCATTTAAGAACGTTAATCTTCAAATTTGTGTGCTCGTTAAGTTTTTAATCTAATCGAATTGCTCATTGCCCATTGGAGTTTAATAGACTCTGATACTATATTAAGACTTTGGATCCCATTTTAAAAGGTCGACTTTGTTAAAATGAGCAACTTAAGCCCTTATATGTTGTGTATTTATTTATTATTATTCGACGTGTGATTTACCATTTTACCCTTAACAATTAATGCAAGTAAATAATAGAATCATTTCCAAAACTTTAAGATTGGCAGGAGACATAGACCATTGCGCTTCAGAGAGGACGGCTGGTTCAGTGAAGTTCGCTCCAGAACAGCAGGAATCTCAAGCACAGCCACCGCAGAAGCAAGAGCCCGAACCAAAAACCTCCACAAAAAGCGAAAAATCAGCTCTGTCCAAGTGGTCCTCTTGGTTTACATGCTGCTCAATCTGTAAGTAGGAAAGATTTTTGCCAAAATCTCTTGCCTCGAGCAACACCAAAACTCGAGAGGATCCATCGACGTGAAACTGGCTGAAAAAAATGGTTCACATAGCCTACCTAAATTGACTGGGAATAAAGCTTGGTTTGTTGCTATCGTAAATGTCATTAGTATCATTGATAGTCTTAGTCTTGTGGATTCATAAAAGACGAATGCGCGTATTGTAAATTCTCCTCCTTGTCATGATAAAGATGTTTACAAGCGCTTTCTATGCCCACCGGCTGGACAAAAATGACGAGCTCTCTCGTGGATGAAACGTGAACTATTGTTGTGCAGCATTGACCGTGGTCTGCTTGCTTGGAATATAGGAATATGGTAGGGAATCTTAGATGTTAGAAAAGTGAAAGAATATTATACAGATTATGCGCATGTACAATTACAGGTTCAATACATCAGTCTTATAGTATTTATTGTTTTCAAGTAATGATTTGAACATCTGATTTTTTTACCTGGAATTCTTTAAGGATTGATCGGGAAATTTTCCATTATTGTGAATACTTTTGTCATTTTTATTATTATTTTAGTAAAATCACCATCAAAACCTAGACTGGATTTTACGCTTCAACCTAGACTCAAATATGTCATGTTAAGTAAGTTAAACTCTACGAGACTTGATATAATTACAAAAGATAAGCATATGAAACATTTATTTTTTATCACGTGTAGTTTAATGTATCAAACACGAGCTTGTCAACCTTTACGTTGTTCAAGGGGGTGAAGTTGTGGCCATTGAAATTTAATATGTTGTATTCCTTCACTCACTCGTCACATTTTATTAGACATTGAATTTATACTTCCATCACACTTGCTGAGCTTTAAAATGTTTTGAAGTGGTCACTGAACTTTACTCACTGAATCAAATTGTTTAAAAATTGAAAATTTTGAAGTATAAAACATCATATATGAAGATGGCGTCATTCTTTCCTCTTGAATTATCTTGTGACAATTCTAAAAATTATATTTTATAAGTCTTATTCTAAATCGAAAATTCCATTGCCTGAGATATTATTTTTATTTTCTTTATTTAAGTCTACGATTAAAAACGAAATAAGGAAATAATTTCTCTATTTTATTTTCTCGACGTAAAGAAATGTTATAATTTAAATTAAGATTGTTAGAATTAGGGTGTGATCTGAATTCTATTTGGAGTACTACTTGAGAATTCTATTTGAAATTTTGTTAGGAAATTTTGTTGAAGTCTATTTGGGATCGCACAGAAACATGCCAAGAATAATTTGTTGAGAATCTTAATTTTACACGAATTTTCTTATTTTGTTAGAATTTTAGTTTAGATAAGATTCTTGTTAAGTGATATTTTCGTTTTTCCATATTTCATAAGTTTAGTATAAATAGGAAACTTTA